GTTTTCTCTAGATATAGATATGGGAAGATGCCAGCATTTCCATTTTAAATGACATGCAAAGGTGCGATATGTTGACTGTATTTCGAAGTTTAATGAAAAGTCGAATGAATAAAAAACGTTTTAGCCTCTAGCACCGCAAAGGGGAATTGGTAAAAAGTACATATAGCGATTTCCACGCCTATAGATTCGAACAAATAATTCTTTACCCATTTTTGAGAATTGGTTATGAGACAATACAATTAAAATCATTACGTGATGAAGCTCTTTTAATTTAGTAAAGGCTATTGCTTCAAAGGAGGGCGTGAGTAATAAATATTTATATTGATATGGTTGTTTATGTACATATCGAGCGCACCAGATTGCTGACGCTTCATATAAAATATAATAGTTTGAAACGACAGGTTTCCGTGTCGCAATCTCCCTAGTGTAATAATGAAAAAATAGAGATAAACCACGATATATTTAATCATTAGGTTTTGTTGAAAACCGCATTGCTCGAATATTCACGCAGCGATAATTTACCCTTCTTCCTTTTTTAGGGGAGAAATTCCGTTTATATCATCGAATATATGTCTCCGTTTCATTATGGTTTTGAGAGCCGCGTGGACAATGTGAGATGATATTAAGTGAATCAGTAATTTGTTACTAGATTTGAGCAGATATTCTGGTATCTCGTTTCAGGAAGAAATTTGATAAATGAGTGTTAGTAGAGATTTTAACAATTTCAGAAAATGTTAAGTTGTTAGTAGATGATTGCTGCATGAACTTGCATTTGCAATAGATTATTTGTTAATATATAATATTGAAATGTATATAATAAAATATGTATTAATGAAGACACCTATGAATGTTTTGTATATTACTTTGCAACAATTAATTGCCTTTATACCGTTCATTTCATCAGGATTCATGAGTTCGTTTCAACACAATTTTAATGTACCAGTATTAATTTCGGTAGCATTGTCGATAATTTGAAATTCCCTAATACTGTAATAGTAAAAATACCAATGGAGCTGTAGAAATCTCAAATAGTGTTTTCATTTCATTTATAAATATATACGAATTTGAAGTTGTTATAAAACAATGAGAAGTGTAGAAGTCGATGTCATCAATATATATTGTCATTGGTAAAAGGTGACATTGGGATAATTCTTTCATTATATTGTTACCTGATACTGTGATAGGGTCAAGTTTGATAAATGCAAGAACTCTAAGAGTCCAAGCAGCGTAAAGGCGTTTACTACTGAATTGAAGGTAATACAGATATACCGGTACCTACCCACTACTCGGTACGATACAAAGTAGCAAGCACAGTATATCATCATATTTGGGGGAAGACAAAAATGGCGGAATTATAGAACAGGATAAGGCCGGAGTTCTTATTTGTAGAAAAGTTCTTTACTCTTTACTACGCTCTTTAAATCGGAGATAATATGTATAGAAAGTATACTATGAATACAAGAATGCCCAACTCTTTAAATCGGAGATAATATGTATAGAAAGTATACTATGAATACAAGAATGCCCAACATTTCAATTTCATCGATTTTTCTCTCATTGTCCGAGCTGAAAACCGATGAGATATGCCTAAATATCAGTTAGTATACAAGCAATACATCAATCTAGAATACTGGAAAATTCGAAATATATAGCTACTGTGTCGTTCTATAAAATAGCATGTGCAACATTGCTATTATTATAATGAAATTAAAGAATTCTGCGATAAACAGGTATCCACCTATCTACTCCTATAAAGGTATGGACACTAATCAATTATTTTGAGACCACACCATAGGTTGAGCCCAATTATAAAAATATAAATTATCCAATAGATATTTCTTACATTTGCATTATTGGTTTTAACGATAATAAACTCTGACATAATCTGATATATGTATGTGCTTGATACCCGTGTTACACATTGACATCTTAGTAATGATCGTGTCATAAAATAAATAGGAATAATTTGAAATTTATTTATCTTCCTGTTAATATTAGCTTTATGTGACATTTCATCGGCATGGATGTGTAGTATCAGCTCGAAAACGTGCGTGGGTGGGTTGATGAACTAGTAACTAGCCAATCAACCTTCACATTTAAGTTAATTCAAAAATCAGGTAACATTTTCGGGCGTAATCAAAGCGAGAGTTTATTTTCTAACATCGGTCCGGCAGACGAGTTTCGGTCCCGTGAGAATATTCCAATGATAGAGGTGGAATCCGCAACAAATTGCGATATTCGGGAATTTTTTGGTTTTGGTATACATTATCTAAAACCTGTTGACGTATATATACTGCTAACCAAAAAAAATAAACAATAGCTTTGTCATTGCTTGACCTGGCCGTAAATAAACGACGCTAAGCTTTCATCCAAACTAGTTTGGTCCAAATAAAATTGTCATTTTGAAACCTGTGGTTATATTAAAATCGCAGAACGTTAGGTACGTCTTCTCCTTAGGGAGTTTATATCGCTTTACCGCGCTCTATCTACCTGATATTTATGTTGTTTACTTGTCTACCGCGGAACTGGAATTATCGAATTGGCGGCAAATTCATTCATTTCACCGCATTTTTGAGATACTGACATATTTTAAACATACTCCTTAATGAGGTCATTGGTTGGATTGAATAATATGCTCTGAATCACAAACATGTTTTTTATGTTTTGTTTCGTGAATATGTAATTTAATATATATAAATATTACAACATTTTTGGTGGGAGTCAATGTATATTTATATGGCCTAAAATTGTGGGTTTCCGTGTCGAATGTCACGCAGTCTACATCAATTGTCTAAGCTGAGGTTTGAATAATGCAAATGCCGTTTTTATTTCGACACTTTGCACTTAACGTTACATTTAGGTTTAATTGACAGATGTTAATATTCACATCGTGCGGTTAGATAATCTGTGCAACTCATTGTCGTTAATCTTTTTATAATAAAGATGTTCCTAATTTCAGAGGGAAGGCTCGGTGCCTCGATTAAAGCAATCTGCTTTTTACTTTACCAATGCCGGCAAAACTTTCTCTGTATATCTGGTGTTATTTGACTTCACAAATGGATGTAATCATATTCATTGAAATTATTCTTTTTATCAAAATGTCATGCTTCATTTATTTCTCAGAACTGAGTTTCTATAAAGAAATTAACGTGATTGTACTTCAAATTTAGACGAGAAAGCGATTTTCTCCAAATATAACGCGTATAACGGATCTATGTCTTCAAATCGGGAAAATTATTCCTCACCGGAGAAGTTCCCTGATTTTATCTAGGCTTGGTAAAAATATCGTGAATCATCGATTTTGATAGGTTTTTGCGAGGAGAACAGACCAAAATGGTTCGAAGTCGTATCAGTGACGTAGATTTTTGTTCACGTCACTGTCAACGCAGAAACAATGTTATGGAATACTTCTGGATATCGCACATGCATTTGTTCATTCTTTAGGAATAGCGCTGTTACAGTGTTGTCGCTGCTGTTGTATGAGACAGTGTGATTGAGTGCTTTCAATCAGGTTCCTTAATTCACACAATGTGTTTCCATCATGTTCTGTGATCGTAATGCTGTTCATTAGGTAAACTTAGTACATGAGTAGCAAAATAATAGTATATCCCAACTGTGATTTAAGAGTGCACATTTTTATTAAATCTTATAGAAGCTTTTGTGTTATTAAACATATTCTTTTTTCACAATGCAGATTTTTACTGTGTAATTATTAGACCTACTTTAATTAATTAATATTCTGGTGTTTACGAATATTTTATTTTAAATATTTCCATATTTTATGCTGAATATAATATTCATAAATGCTATTTTTATCTGAAATCGTTTGTCGCCAAAGTATGTTCGAAAATTTTATTAAAATAACATTCTTTGTCACAGAATAGAAATATCAGTGTTTCGAGGCTACTCTACTTACATTTTTTTGAAATGACCCCCTGCTATGATCGGTCGTTTATTCGGCTAAGATCAATAAAAGCGTTGGGAAAAGTGACAAAACTCCAATAAAGAACAATTCCAAGTTTTAATGGATGAAATAGGCAGACAGCTTCAATCCAATTTCAATTTATTTGAATTTTGTAAGCAACGGTCAAGCATACGAGTTGTCTAATTTTTGGAAAAAGGGAAAAGATAATTAGCAAAAACATTTTTTTTTGTTTAGTTTTCAATTTTGTAGCGACTTTCAAACAATTAATGGGATTCTTTGTTAAGAAGTATTGATTTTCAAATTACCTTTATTTCAAAGACTCAAATCATAATGTGCTTTTAAGTGAACGCTACATTTTAGCCTTCAATAAGCCAAGTTTAGTCGCTTTACGGTCACGATAAAACAGAGTTTTTTTTTACTTTCAATCTCTTAGTCGGAAATGCAAACCATGCACACAATAAAATGCATGAAATGTCAAATTCTTAGGAATAACAATGCAAACAAATATTCAAGGTCAACTGGAAACGATAAAAGGAGCTTAAACGCGCTCTTAAGACGTTTTTACAAAAGGTTAAGAATCTGTTTCCAAAATGAGATTGCAATTTTGGCACGATATGGTGATTTTCCATTCTTCTTCCTTCATTTAAGCTTGGGCAAATTGTAAAAATACCAAGAAATTCAATGTTGTAAATTTCTCTTCGTGTAAACGATATTGGAAGATTAAATGAAAGTAAACTTACTCGACATTTTTAGGTTCCGCATGTATCATAACATGAGGAATCAATTCATCCCGAGACATCACCATTCATTGACTCTTAATTCTAATATAGAATTTCGCTCGTTTGATGAAATTCACTTGATACAAAAAAAAATTTTGTATATAACAAACGGTCTTACATACACCGCACTTGTGAAATGGCTCTAAAGTTGGCAGGACTTCCCCATTCTAGGAGTTACGGGTTACGAAATAAACCAGTGATAATTATAATTGAAATAAAGACAAACAAATGTTAGCAAAAATTTAAATGAAATTATAAGATTCGTAGTCAAGATCACGTCCCGTTGGCAAATTTGTGGTTCAAGTCGCTTCAAATTTCTTGAATGAATATCCCGCCTCGCCCGCCTATCCCGACTCACCTTTTTTTAGAACGTTACAGCACATAGCAAAGTACATTGGTGATATCGATAATAAGGTACGATTTCCACGTGAGAAATCTCATGACAGAGTCTAATGGCAAGTGCATGATGTCATTAACTCGTGTGTGCTGTTATTAGGGAGTGACAGCTTCATGTAGGTACTATAATTTGAATACAAAATTTCGTTCACAAGCTTATATGGCCAATATCATTGGCATTTACACAAAACTTCCTTAGATATCATGGACCAGTGCTTATTGGATCATCTCATCGTACCTATTTATTGAGTGGAGAGGATGTTCAAGAATAATTGGGCATATATCATTATGCTGCATTTTTTCATAGTTTCATCGATGCCATTTGATTAGTACGTCTACATTGGTGATAGAATGGTTTCCAGTTGGCAGTTTTTTGCCCTAATCTTTGAACTAAAATACTATTGCGTCTATTATGCAAATGATGCTTCAGGTTAGTGGTGTTTTTCATCCATTTATGTCGTTAAAATTTTGCGTTATATTTGATAATATTATTTCGAAGTCTCGTGCCAACCTCTATTGCTTGCATAAAAGTCACATACACGGAAAATCTAACTAAAATTACGAATTTCGTTATTCAATACCGAACATTGTTCAGTTTTAAACATAGTTTCAACTTTTAGTAGAATAAAATTGAATGAAAGCTTATAATGATTTTTTGTAATTATACATTCTTTGAAATCCGATATTTTATTTTAAATTTTTGATTTGAGAAATTTTAGCTTTTACTGTCGACCACATGTAATATATAATAACGTATTCTGTTGATGGATGTCTCTATTGGAAATATTTACTACCAAGGGACATAATTATCAAGTTACACAGTTGAGGTTTTTGATTCAATACTACCTTGCATGATCTCAGATGAATATATCATTTTTGGTTCGACTTAACTAAAAAAAGAGATTGGTCACAGATGAAATAAAGTAACAAAAAAGTCTCGCAATTCGATTTTTGGACAGATTGTGACTTGATGTACTGAGTACCGTACATGTGACAATATTTATATATTTGATATCGAGGGAGTTGGAGCTTACTTTGATCAGTGGTGATAAAATAAAATGAAGGTCAGCAGTCTCTTGGGCATCTGTGCGGCAACAGGTAATCGTTGGGATGTACTGTATAATATCCTGTGCAATTACTAATTTTGGTTGTATCAAATGTTAAATCTAGACGTCTTCACACGTCGTAGATGACTTTAAAATGTAAAAATTAAAGTTAAAGAATTGATGTATTGTTCACAAAAGAGTAGTTAACTGGATTATAATGATGCATGGAAGTATTTTTTTTAATATTTCTGTAAATTTGCAACCAAACGTAATTTAGCGTCATAATATTTTTAGTTTGACGTCGTCGCCTTGATATTGTGTCATTTAGACTAAAAGTACTATCAAATTTATAAAGTCTAGATGGCTTGAAGTGGGGGTTAACTACGACTGAAATCTTTTTTTCGACTTGCGAGGCCAACAGTATAACAGTCAGCTCGACGCAAACAACAAGATATTTTTTTAACGACTAATGTTGTGCTACCGCTATATGTCGCTAGATAGAGACTAAAACTTGGTCTCGTGTTAGCATTGTCAAGCAACTTATACGATAGCATGATCAACGCAAAATTACATTCAGGGCATAACATCAACAATACTAGATCTTTGTACAACATGGTTCGATCATCAATCGTGCATAATAAATAGTTTATAATTATTATGAAGATACGAGTTTACAACATCACCAGAGTTTTCAACATTACCAGAGTTGAACTGAATAGACTTTATTTGACAAATATTCGAAGAATGTGGCAAAGGATATTGGCATCATGGAGTGATATAATTGTTAAAAAATTTGCAATAAATGTAAACAAGAATTATATTCGTTTGTTTTGGAATTGAAAATTTCCCAAAATTCATTTTCTTTTATAAAATATGTCACTTAAATGTATTTCTTAAATTATGAACTTTACTAAAGTATTTGCAATTTCGCGATTTATTTTAGCATATAGGGAGGGAATGAAGAGTATTTTACGAAGATAATGATATTCTTGGAAAAGATTATTTAGTCAATTTTTTATTCAAGTATTTTTTATAACAGCTACTTGCATACAAATTGAGTTTTCATCTGTGTGGATAATGAACTAATACATTTGAACTTACCTCATATCGCTTCCCCTTCATCTCAAACTTGAAAAAGTCCGTAACGTAGCTGTAGGTTAATTTGTGAAATTAACTCGAATCAGTCATGGTCACATATTGTTGACCATAAAATGTGTTATTTTAATAGCATTGGGAAACTATTATTTATTACATTGTGACTTTTTAATTTGTTGTGTAGCAGAGTTAGGTTCGAGTCGGCTCATACTTTTGGCATTGATTTGGGTTAGTACGATTATTTTTCATTTAGTTATCTGAATATGACGCTTGTGGTTTGGTGAAAACAGGTACGGCTTCATGTCCATAACCGACCTATTGCATTTCCCTATCGGAATTGTCATGTGACGTAACGTTTTATAACCTCCTAGTGATGTTGCTCGTTATTTTTCCCATGAGCTTGTATGTTTAAAATAGGTTCATTGAAAGATTGTGTTCTGATATTGAAAGTTTTATATGTGCTTATGGTCTAATATTGCATGTATGTTGGAAATTTTGAAGTCGCTTTTTTGTATCCCAAGAGTTGATTGTACACGTGAACAAAGTGATTAGTGTCAATTTCGTTTGATTATCGTTTTCAGAAATCCAGTTGTTAAACAATCAATATCTCATTATTAAAAAGTCTATTTAGGAGAATTATTATGCTGTATGCATTTTTTTATATTGGCGAATATTTATTTAATATAATATAGTTGTATCCCCTTATATAAATTCGGTAAATAATCACATAAAATAATCATTCAATAAGGCAAAGATTTTGATGCAATTAAAATTTAACGTCTCAGACGTCTTTTTACTGTTCTGTGTGTAGCTGAATTAAACACATTACATCACTTGCCATTAGAATGTTTCGCAAATGATCTTTGGACCTCCAAAGCCATATTGCCATTTTAATTAATTCCACCACACTTAATACTGACTGCAACAATTAAACGAATTGGGCTGTTGTAAGTGGTTTTGAGACCTGGCTTATCCAGTCAGAGAATTTCATTACTAAAATGGCTATTTAACGACGCGCCATATCTGCCCAATTAACAGCTAATCATAAACAATGAAAAACGTCTTACCATTTTTAAAGTCAACGACATTTGGGATAATGCTGAATCTTTATTTATAATGAGTCATGAGACTTGACGTAGGTGCAGTAAAGATGATTTTGAAATGTGAAATTTGATATGTTGAATAAGAATGCATGCGTAGCTTATGACGGAATATAGTTATTATATGCGGGTCATTGAATTATAGAAATTAAGTTTCATTATTGACTGATAGAAGAAAAGCTTACGCGCATTATTGATAGATATCCTTCCTTCTACGCATCCGTAGATATTCATGGTGCGTAATATATTATTTTTGGCAAGTATCAGATTTCTCAAATTTGTGATTAATTCATCAATTCCATTACTCATGTGCCATTCACTTTCATTATGAGTGAATTACAAAAAATGTTGATGTGAGTAGAAATCTCAATCACAGTTTTATCGAAGTTAAATCCCCAAAGTTTGACACGCTCTCAAATAAATTTTCAATCCTGGTATAAAAGCTATATTGAACAATAAGGCCATGTTCCTACATGTAAATAATAAGCACTCATTATCTTTGGAGGTAGTATCTTCTCTGTACTTTGAGAATGATATTTTTAAAATATTTTACTATGAAATACGGACCATTCGTTTAAATTAACGATTATATCATAAATATCGTCTACCATAGCAACTAGCCCCAATCTTCAATATATTTATAGAATTTTGTGCCGTTGAAGATCTCTATATCTTATTATAACCAAGATATATGGCTACAAAGTAGTTGATGCATTCATTTTATATCCTGAGTAGTACACATAATTTGTTTTTTAGGTAAACACGCAAAACAAAAGTTCGTTTGTCAGTTTATTTGCTGCATCATATGTTCGATATGTTTCCTTTCCTTAGCTATATCTCGCAAATAACCCATCCCATCCTCAGGCAATGTGATATTAACAAGTTATCTGTTCTCGGTCATATGTTTTATTTATTAAAAGTAATAATATTTGAACCGTTTAGTTCCTAATTATCTGATTAGAAAAATTCACTCATAAGGTTCAAATTTCCATTCTGCCTTTCTGTGGTTGATTATGAGAACTTGGGGGACATTCAGCTTCAAGGAAGTCATTCAACATTCAGTTGAGTACTTTCGACAACTGCTTTTCACATGTACAGTACCTATTAAGGCAATCCCGGTGATTACACATTACCGATCAGAGGTATTTGCATACTAGCAGGAATCGAATAAATTCCATCTGAAATAGTTAACTATGTGCAACTAAAATAGACAGAAATGCAACGGCATGGAAATAAAATGAGAAATGTGAGATCAACAATTGGCCATCTAAGCATGCATCAGATTTTAAAAGTGGATCTGCGGCGTAAATAAGCAGCAAATGGATCGTATTTTATTGGTTTACCTCATCATTGATCATTCAGTCTAAATGATTTGTAATTACAATAAAAATATCATTTTAAATGGGAATTCGCTCACAAGCTGTATGAAAAACAGCGGGAAATCACACACGTGACATTACCTAGTTACAAGATTGAAAATCCCTTCGTTTGCAATAATTACAGACATTAACAATCTGCTTAATATGTGTTTACACGGCGTTTTATCATATTTCTTTATTAATTAAGGGTCGCAAAGGTCATTTTGATATCATGTCGCATGCCTGCTGCCCCATGTTGTCGTCCGTGCAAGCCTGGGATGTGAGGCAAAGCTATAGCTGTTAAACAGATATAGGGTTTTATTGAACAATTTCAAGATATAAGGTTGCGAACCTCGGTTGAATGTTATTTACTTAACAGTATAGAGGGATTAAAGATCAGTAAAATCTGGGATTAGAATGAAACCATTTGTCTGCAACCTGTAAATATTTGCATAGTAAAAATCGTGGCAATCAAGTTTGGAAATGTGGAATCGACTAGACGTAGACTAGATGATAATTTCTGGGTTAAAAATAGCCGGAAAATACTAAACAGGGCGGTCAAAGAGCGCATGTCAAAGTTAAGACAATCGTCTCCGAGGTATAGGAAGTCCTTGCTCTCTATTGATGGGCATCATGCTAAGTTTTGCGACCGACTTTTTACTGGAAAATATTCTACAAAGTGTGAGTAGTTTAGTCCACGCAATAATTGGTGTCGAGTACAACCGATGTTTATGATGAAAGTGCAACTTGATATTACTATGTTCCTTTTCCACTCTTTCGACCTAATTTACCAATCATATGTTCCAATTAAAATGGACGACGGTTTATGTAGGATATACGTGAACACTTATAATTATGTTATATATGATTTATTCAACGTTCATAATCAATTCTACTAGCGTTGGGAATATGCTGTACCTGAGGCTCTGTTCTCAGATATTTTCATTGTATTAACCATATTATCACAGACATAATGATTTAATGAAACACATGTTGCAATTCATCTCAAATTGCTGACTAAATAGGTATATATTTGGGCTTCATGAATGGATATGAACGGATGTTCTAGCGATAGGAAGTTTTGTATTACCTATACTAACAAAGAAGATGAAAAATATAGGAAGTATAGCCTAATGGTTTTTGCTAAATACTTTTTTATATTTAGGTAATAAATATTGTTTTGTTCTTTTCGTCATTGCACGTCTATGGAATTTTTTTTATTCAGATTTCACTATATCTATTTGATGCAACGGCTTACAATTGTTTTTACTCTTTGACAGGATTGGGATAACCTGCATAGTACAGAGTTGTTCTTTAGTGCCACGTATTTAGGGTTATGTTTATATTGAGCCTATTATACTGCTATACGCTGGATCAGTCAGGACATGACTTATTGCAAGAAATAGAAAAACAAAAAATATTCCACAAGTCAACTTCAATATGTCAAAAGTAAGAGCGGCAATTGATGATAAAGGTTATTAGATTTTTATTTCATGATTTTTTTTAACTTTCGCTGATTTGTGCTTTTTATTTTTGTTCATCCTTATTCGACAGCATTCTTTATATTTTGAAAAAAGTTGTCTGGAATACCCCATATTTCGTTATACTTCTGCAATATCAAACAACGAACCGGCGGTCAATGACATCATTGTTTTAATTTGGCTTTTTATCAAAGTCGTGCGATAGTGTGTAAAAACAAAATGGCGATGTAGTAACCATTGTCTGCCAAACACATTATTTCCGGGAAAAACATAATTAATGAGGGAGTATTGGAGGAATGCTTCATTGATTCATCACGCAAGGTCGACCATAGTCATATATGAACCAAATTCTCGGGTCAGGAATCATCTATCGGCCGTTCTTGGCTTGTTAACCAAACAAGAATGTAAATTTACATCTTTCAGACAGACATGAAAATTGAAACGATTAATAACGCCCTCCAAACACGAAAATGAAATAAACTGAACTCATGTTCGCTGAGGCGCCACACGGCGTGGCATTGCGCCAAAACAGCTAAGCGATAATAGCACTTCCTTTTCCTTTTGCAATAAATTGGACAACAGGAAGGCAGCATCACTATGATGCCACGTCAGTTACCTCATCGCGATGGACGGCGTATTAAAATATACGATTATAAATAGACATTGAGCTATTTTAACCTATATTATCTAAAATATCAGATAAACATACTATTAATGACCATTTGCTCGTGGTTGCTACGTCGAGTTACATGTTTTAAATGTTTATATTTATCTGTATACGTAAATAGTACACCAATGTTCTAATAGTTTTTGCTTGAAAACTTGGCATTGAATTGCTATGAATATAAAGAATATAGATGTATAGAATTCAGTTAATTAAACAATGCATCAATTTGTTTAGATCGCCAACTGATATCTCCGATGAAACATACAGAATTACATGCTACCAAAACGTCGAATTCAAAAAACGTTGAACATAAACTTATGGCTTCAAACTCAACGGATTTTCACAAACCGACCGAAACAGATGTTTTAGCAGTTCGTCAAGTAGATAGTCAGATGACTTCCACTAGTGGGAGCTGTGGAGTCCCACGAAATGACCTGCTACATGAGTTATCTCTCTCATATACGTCGGATTTATCTGTTTTACTCCAGGGTTCGCAAATAGAAAAGGCATCTCTCACTGCTACTGATTTTCCACCTCTCCCATTCATGAATTCCCAAAAGCTATTGCTGAGTAAAACAGAAAGTCCCTCCACCAATGGAGAAGAAATGAATTTAAATCCATTCATTTTCAAAACTATAGAGACCAATGATGACAGCAATACAGCACACCAATTAGAAGTCAAGAGTACGTAATACCATCATATAAAATACGTCTAGCATATTATCTCAAGATTATAAATATAAGTTGATGTGTTGCCACAATATATATTATTTATTGTGCTTCTTTTTGACATTTGTAAAGAATGAAATTCTGTTTTAGATCCCACGACAACTGCTTCGCTTTTTGATTCATTGCTCAATTGTCCGTGTTGCGGACGAGGATACAAGAGAATAACTTCTTTGAAGGAACATATAAAATATAGGTAAACATACTTTCATTGTATATAGTAGTGTGTCAATTGGAGTTAAGATTCCCTCAGACCTCATCCCAATAATAATACTGTCACACGCTGAACCATGAAATTTAAATAAAAAATATGCCTCGTTTTCGCAGACACGAAAGAAATGAAGACAACTACGCATGTAACATTTGTCACTATACATTCCCATACAAATCTCAACTAGAAAGACATGTTAATTCACACAAGGCTGGCCGAGATAAGGTACGTTTGCATAGTTCAATATATTCCACAACTCCCAGTAAATATTCTATCTGGTTAGAAGTATGTGGAACTTTTTCTTTTTCTTTTTCGTACAAATTGCTTGGATAAAGATATTTATGATACTACAGTTCATAATTTTGCACTTTATATAAAACGAACAAACAGCACTGTTATTATTGTTCTGTCAATTTTACTCGTTGTCTGGGCACAAAATAGATCATATTTGAACATGTAATGATTTTACATTTACAATTTGTCAATCATCGAGTTCGTATACAATATGGTGACGACTAGACTGTCAGGTCAAATAGGACGCCAATACTAATCATGTTAATTATAATTCTCGTATTCTGCTATTCAACGAGCAAGTTCACTAATCGTTGATTGGAATTTATTGTCCAAATCCTTACATAACCTTTGGTATAAAGTTGACAGTTACAGATGTCATTTAAAACGCCGAACTTTGATATATGCCACGATTGAATTAGGCAGCTGATCTTAACTGCACATTGTTAACGTCCAACGGTGGACACTTCAGATCACGATTCTCTTATTGGGTGCACTAAACTGTCCAGATCCAGTCAATGACGACCTGTAAAAAAGCACAGTAACAGTAACTTACTTAATTATAATAGTTCCCCTCTTGAAAGCAACGCCTCCTATGACTTCCCTGAGTGGTAAAACGTGTTTGCGTTCGAGTAATGTTCAGTGATGCAATGTTGGTGTTTATTCAATTTTTAACGGTAACTTGCAAATGCATTCCAAGTGCATGATATCACTAATTCCCATGAGTGTTAACGATAACGGCAGTTTTGTTAGGTGAGTCTGCGTCTTTGAATATTCCAGGTTATGGAATTCACCACCTGTTTCCCCCAATAGTTTCATGTATACAGTTTGCATGAAAAACAACCGAGTCCGAGAAACAACGTAAGAATATATATTCAAATTGTCGGTGTAGATTGTAAACATCGCTTTTAGTATATTATAAGAGAATAAAGGTAACGAACGACTCACAATTTCCCTTTTTACCGCACAAGAACGAGAAATTATTTGAAAGGTAATTTCTCATTATTACGGTCCATACCCAATGGAGATGACTAACCTAATGACCAACAACTGCGCTAATGAATTAAAGCTATTAAGCCTTCAGGATGCTTTATTCACCTTTATAGCGTCATGGCATATGTCCCCGGTAAACACCTGGCGGTGAAACTAACAAAATCATATCAAAAAATACGTGGAACATCAAATTGTAGAAGGCCCACTAATTGTTTTAACACCTTTGAAACGTAATCTAAATGCTAAGCCAAAAAGAAGATATTAATATTATAGTGCAGATATGGACAAAACTGTTATCATAATGCAGATTTTCTAATCAAATTTGGAAATTTATTTATTCATTTATTCCTAATCAGCGTCTAATATTGTTGTATCGTTAATATAATAGATTTTAGTGATACCACTTCTGTAGATCAGTAGCCCTATTTTCGCAGATCGTATACGAAGGGTTTCTTTCTATAATTCTATGTTTGGAATTGTTTATATTTTGGAGCACACAAACCAGTCAGAGCTTTTGCTAAGCCTGTTCAAGTGTCCAAACGGAAATCATTATTCATCAGTAGCAGTTATTTATCCGTGTAGTCATATTGAGATTGTGAAATGTATGTTCGTGTAATTGAGAAGAATAGGAAAAATTAAAAAGAAAATAGGTCGAGTTTTTTCAATATTTACATGTTAGTTCGGTCACTTCATAAAAGTTATAAGCTTCCTTGTATTTTAAATAGATGTAACTCTTGCATTTAAAACGCAATTGAGTCGAACTCATCTATGAGATGTAGAACCCTGGTATACATATTTTTTCGAACAAAGAATAAAACTATTTCTATTATGATATTGCATTTTCTCCAGAGCGGGATCGCAGGAGTCCCTAAACGCCAACCGCCCTGACGTAATCGACAAGACAGTCACAAACCTTGTAGCTGAACTTTGCCAAGCGTGAGTCTATGTATTTCCTGATTTGCGCTGGAAAGTAACCTTGAACGAAACAATGAGTGGAGACAATATACTTGGCCGTAATCTTATGGTAACGGGTGCATTTAAAAAGAAATTGGCCGCACGGGAATTTCGACATTCGCTTCATTTAACCCACGGTTGTAAATGGTGACAGTGACAGTTGAGAATGTCGATGTTCAGTATTATTACAACTACTTGTAAATATACTTAGTTGGCATTTATGAGAGTATAATACTGTTGGCTGGGCACTCATGATAAATTTTGGCATATTTTTTTAAATCACTTTAAAACAATGTAATTAAAGAAAGACCTGACAACGAACTTGATTAAACCTGCTATGTAGTTTAGAGGTTTGATCCTAAAAATAATCCAAATTCTTTTTTATCAAACTACCGCCTAGTTTTAAACACCTATAATTTAACGTTATCACAAAAATCTTGAAAAGTTTTTGTCATCAGTTCCTGAATTTAGCTATAACAAAGCAGATTAGCAGATACACAAATAAGTTGTTTTCTTTCACCAGCCGATGGCGTGATTATACTTGGACGAATAAATCTAAAACATTTTTTTTTTCCTTTTTTGTTATAGCTTTTAGTTCAAAAATACAATACCACTGACTGCTCACGGCTATCGTCAATCGTGTCTTTAAATTGTGAGCATATCGTTCCGTTCGATGTTCAGGGTTAAGGTGGTAAGGTTTGATACGTCAGTGACACCCTCTATTGCACGCGTGTGTTCAATTCCATCGGGAATTTACTTGAAACGTATTTGAACGGTGAATCGCATACGTTCGTTCCCAGTCTGCATGTGCCTTGTGTGAAGAGAGTGCCTTTTCTGTATTGTACCAGTTTTATATCACGAGATGTAGTCTGCTAACGTCTGAAACCCGTCAGCAAGTGTTCCTACATTCAACCCGTCGTCGACCAGGATACATTCAAATATATATCTTTAGCCAGCATTGCAATTCACCACCGGGTCGTCGATCTGTATATTATTTCATTCCGTCATCGATAACAAGACCTTCAACAATACCAAAGATCATTGGACTCCAAACTCCGATTTCAAGTCAGCAAGAATATAAATAAGGCAGGAATATCACCACAGAATCGTGTTCAATACTTTCATTTCAAGTAAATCGGATTTCAGAATAAAGAAGGTGCAGTTCATTGCACGTTAGCAAAACTACCGCCTATCCATTTCACTATATGTTGTAAATTACCGTTTTTGACTGGGCATCTGTACATTTTCTACAAATATATTCACAACGCAAGATGACTTCTTTTCCCGTTCAGAATTCAACGTCTTTATGATTTCACCTGAAAATATGGCTCTTGATATTGATTCTAATACAAGTACAAAAATATTTCTCAACGAAGTCTTTCAACGTACTTGTGCAACCATCAGAGTTAAGATACTTCTACGTCGTAGCGACGTTACTTGACCTAACCGCGGTCTTACAAGACATATTTTAGAGACGCTCCGGCGACATATTGTAGCGTGAAACGCTGAACTGTTTATATATGTGTGTGATTTTTATTATTTTTTATATTATTTTATTGACGTCACAAAGAGCAAATAGCTTGACATCACATTCAAAGGTGTTCAAAGATTTAATCGCACACTAACGTCCACAAGTCAAACGACTTGAAATTTCACATATTTTCATACCGATTGCATACTGGTTGATATCGATCAATAATACGGCACAAATTCGTACAACTTGCTACGATTATACGGACGTTACGCCGTGACGCAGTATATTGTGCCAGCAAACTCATTAAATTTCCAAATTTTCGTGGAAATAAGAACAAAAACACTGGATATCCGAAGCATCGGAAAGAAGATGTTGCAGCGAGGAGGCTCTATAGCAACATCTAGCGCCGATTGCTTTTTTGGATCGTTCCGGTGGAGCAAGAAAACGAGAGTACTGAGATTTCACCTGCAAGAGGTAAGAAATATCTTTCAATTTTAGCGTAATGTCCTTCGGCAATACATTTGAATATTGCTTTCTAGCTTTTCTTTTTCGAAAATAAAAAATGAGGGAATTGCAAAAAACCGGCTTGGTGTGTTATTCAGATCTTTGTATTATCCAATTTCATATCAGTAAATCTTGAATAAAAATACAATTCATGTTTCATTCTATTCTTCTATTCAATAAGCAAATAAGAAGGCCAGTCAAATATAACCATCGGGTACATATGACACATGAGTTAATTTTGCAATATTGCAATTGTTATCAATTGTCTGTGGATTTCACCATTTAAGTCAACTAAGCATACTTCTATAATTCAGAATTGAACAAGTTACACGCCTTAACAATAAGTTCAGTTTGCTAATTATTAATTTTAAGATATTGATACGGTTGGTACTTAGTTCGGATTCCCGGACCCTTGGGAGGAAGAATGATCACCATAAAAATAGTTAGTTAGTCATTAGTTCCAACTGTAGAGAACGTTTTTCTGTGTAATAATACAATATTACCATATCGAGTTGATAAATTGAGCTGCGATATTATCAATATATATCTTCACACATATAAAACAGAATCAAAAGCATTGTTAAACATCTTTCAATGGTGGTTTATGCTTAGTGCTATGAAAACTGCCATGGCATCAGTATTTTATATACTGCATAGCACTTCGTGTGTCAATAGCAGCTTTAAACTCTTCTGTTAATATTCATTCTACTTTTAGTCTCAAGGACAAAAACCGCCTCGGATTTAGTTTATCCCTCCCAATCCACCTTGGTAAATTTACCGATAGTTAACATAATTATTCTGCGACATTGTCTGAATGCACTCGCCGGAAATAGGTATAGTGAGTGCAGTTACCAGAATTCGCAAAATAAAAAATATTATAATTAGGAGTCTGAATTTGATCATAAAATCTTTTTAACTATTGATAAATTTAAAATAAAATAATATACATATAAGTGTACTTTGATGTTTACCTCACAATGTCATGCGAATGGTGTACTCTGGTTTCAAT